ATTTCAGTAAAATTACAAGCCGGTCAAGATAAGACAACACATAGGGGACTTGGAAGTACTGGACAACCTTTAATAACAGTTGTCATATGCTAACTAGCGACTAGGTTCGAGGAGAGATTTTCTGAATTCTAGCGGGAAACCGCGACCAGTGGAGCTAAATTGTGTCAAATATGAGTCAGTTTCTCACCTAAGACAATAGAAGATGGTCGCCCACTATCACAGGGTGATTAAAGTCAGACTAGTAAACCACTAGATCCTAGCTCATTGATCTAAAAATTGAGGATTCATGCGCGTTGCCGAATGTCCTTGGTTTAATCCCCTTTTGTGGAGTCATGGATTATCACTCCAAAGGAGCTTCTTACTTAGACAAAGTAGATTTTTAGTATTTCCTGGTTTTTAATAGTTATCTGACTTTGATCAGTTCATGTTTTCAATGAAACTGTATTACTAATCCCTGGATTATAACCAATAGTAGATTCCAGGACATGTTCTTCATTTTATTCGGAAGTAGTCAACCAGATATACCTTCACCTCAGTTTTCATGTTCACACTTAAACTCTATCTTATTCTTATAAATCAAAGTACAGTGAATATCGCTATCGTTCTGTTCAAGGATTCTAACAACAAATCCATTTATAGGATCCATTTTTGGACCAATACTATGCATATAGTTTTCATCGTTTTTAATCGCTAAATAGCTAAACTATTCATATTCATGTTTTTCTTATTTTAAGCTTTATTTTGACCCATAGACTATTAATGTACGATTTACCATTCCTGAGTTATACCCAGTCTATGCATTACTGTTCCCCCTATTCACAGCCACATTTAGCTGAATCTTGTAAAAATGTTATTTTGTATTTTATGGTACGATGTGATCAGTTTGATTGGTATATAAATCCAGTATGTTTGAAACATAATGATTCATACCTCAGAGGCTGTTATGGAATTAACTGGCTGGGCTAGACTGAAGCAGGACCGATAAATGCTCTAGACTGCTCGTACGGGTTTCGTGTGTCATTGGTCCGAATCGATAATTCGCTGCTCTCCAATTGGCGGTCTCATCATGCTATAGATTAACAGGGTATCCACTCAGCCACAGGATATAACACCATGTCAAGTTCCTAATTTCATTTTGGTAATCATTAAGCTGCTTTATTCAACTTCATACTTACTAACTTCATTTATATTTAATATGAATGATCGTTATAAATGAGTATAATTTAAGTACTTACTTACTTACTTACGTCTGTTACCCCATTTTTCTGCAAACGTTTTTGAAACATCATTCTTTCTGGGCTAACATATTTGTTTTTGAACAAGAATCATAGACACCATAGGTATTTATATCCCTTGTATTATTAATTACCATGATGATGGATGTTGATTAGTAGTTGAATCAAGCACATGAGTTGCATCTTATTTGAGGCTTGTCGTTTGGATATACCTGTCAAATCGCATAGTTGATGTTCACAGTGGGACTCGAACCCAATATCATTCGCTTCATCATCCGGTACACCCAGCTGATGAGTACATCACAGGACGAAACGCGTGTCCTGGATTCCATTGGTAGCCACTACCCATCTTTGCTTATAAAGCTTGTGACTTGAAACAATACCCAGGCATTCCGTATAGGATTCACATATGCCAATAAGAGTTAGACCAGTTGCAGTCCTAAACATCAATGGGAAGATTCAAATAAACAATACCAAGTGAATTTAAACAAGTAACCAACTTTAAGGGGTTTTTGTGGAGAATTCAGTATTTTCAAAGTTGAAACCATGAGTCAATTGAAGCTAGACCACCATGGAAAGCCTGGAAGAACTGGAGGGCCGTTTCGTCCTATTATGGGACTCCTCAGAAGTGCGCATCCACGATCCCGCACTCACGAGATTCGAACCTATGACCTACCAGTCTCGAGCTAGAGCCATTAACCCGTAGACCACTGAGTCGGCATTCAACGGTGTTTATGTCTAACTTCCATGGTGGTCTAGCTTCAATTGACTCATGGTTTCAACTTTGAAAACACCAAGTGAATTTAAACAAGTAACCACTGTATTAAAATAATGATATTCTCTAACCTAATTATTCACCGTATCTTCTCACTTATACAAACAATATGAAGAAATATACCCTAGATACACAAATATACACGTAGATACATACATAGATACATAATTGAAGTTAACGAAATGGATATTGACTTATATAACTAAGCAAATCCTTTCTTATATGAATAGATTAATTCTTTTGTCATAATTATAGATTAAATTTGGTTAACTTATAAAGTGATTTAAATGATTAGTAATTTGAGAAACAAATCTAGATCATAGACAAACTGATCTATACAATGGGGCCCTCCATTCTTTTACGATGTCAATTAGATCGGCCGATGTTATCGGGCGGACTTACCACTTTAGCGGGCCCGATATCTGACTTTAATTGGATTATATGAATGATATTAAGATATATATATTAGCTGTCTTCGTATATAATTGTTGATTCAATCCACGTCGGTGGATATAACGCAATCAGTGAGGAGAAACAAACAAAGTAGGGCGATGCAGATTGGAGTAGCTGATCTATACAGTGGGGTCTTTTCTTTTCCGATGTCAATTAGATTGGCCGATGTTATCGAGCGAACTTACCACTTTAGCGGGCCCGATATCTGACTTTAATTGTATTGTATGAATGATATTGAAATACACATACTGGCTATCCTTGCATATAATTGTCGATTGAATTTGCGTTGGTGAATAAAACGTAATCAGGGAGAAGAAACAAAGAAGGAAGAGAGATGCCGATTGGAGAAGTGAAGCGAAATGGCGTGCCATGGAGAATACGTGTGAACTAACTGAATTTAATCAAGCGTTAATCAATATTTGTAGTCAGTCATGTGATGAATAAGATAGGAAATGAACACACACGTACACTTAAATAAAACCAGTCAACGTTGATAAACGAATAACTAGCAAAGTAGCTTGAGGAGAATGAATAAGTTGGTTTGTCCAGTAGCTAGAATAAGCTATGTGGACTCGACATAGGACCAGCCACTACATATATTGATATTATGCAAAATAATTTACACCAATCAATATGTAAAGGTAGGATTTAAAAATCATAGGTAAGAATTATAATATGTACAGCTTAGATTCTTGATATACTGTGTACTACTTGAGCACTTGAACGTTAGAACCATCAAAGTAGCAAAATGATAAGACAAAAGACGATTGAGAAAGAATGCTATTCTACAAAGTGTGAAATATAGTACAAAACTCTCAGGTATTTATAGTTTTTTAGTAAAATCAAAATCATCATTATGGTCATCCAATCCGCATACAGTGATGATTCAGCATCAGTTCAATAGGAAAGCTACATGTCAAGATTTCGTAATGTTCCTCCAGAAAATGATTGGATGAAATGTCTTCAACTCTTTCTAAGCTTCTTAGAGCTTCCTTTAGTCTTCTTCACAAGAAGTTTTCCATAATTTCAGATCATGTAATAAGGAAATCAAATATAAATCAGAACGTCACAATATATGGTTACTTACTTACTTATTCCTGTTAACCGTCGTTGAAGAAAATACGTCGACCACCAGTATTCTCCATCCAGCTTTGTACTAAACAATCCTTTCCAGTTGTTTCCAGTTGATATTCATTTTTTTCATGTCTGGCTCCAATTCTCGACACAATGTTTTCTTCGGTATTCCTCTTCGTTTCCCTTCAGGATTCCAAGTTAGCGCTTTTTTCGTTACGCACTCTGATGATTTCCTCAATGTGTGTCCTAGCTACTTCCAACGTCTTGTCCCGATTTCCAGTTCAAGTGGAAACTAGTTTGTTCTCACTCATAGTAGGCTGTTGTTGATGGTATTCGGTCAATGGACATTAAGTATCTTGAGAAGACAATTTTTTAGAAATACTTGTGCTTTTTTGATGATGGTTGTCATAATTCTTCAAGTTTCAGCCCCTAACAGTAGAACTGTTTTTACGTTCGTACTGAATATTTCGACTTTGATATTGGTTGACAGATAGTTGTTTTGAGTTGTATATAATCTTCAATTGTAGGAACACAGTCCTTACTTTACCAATCCTTGCCTCTAAATATGCATCAGATCCTCCTGCTGCTATACTAGTTGTCTTCTACATTGATTGATGTAGATGAAATAGAAGGTGTAGGTCATCTGCAAATTTCAAATCCTCTAATTGATTCCGAACTAGCCATTATATTCTGTATTTCCTCTCAGATATCGAGGTTTTTGTAATCTAGTCGATCACCAGAGAAAAGAATGTATACAGCAAACAATTTTATCTAACATAGTAGCTGTTCTATTCACTTGATGCTGTTTACTTGTATCTTCCCATTGTTACTTAGGACTGCAACTGATCAATCCCTTGTTGGCATATGTGCATCCACTGCGGACTGCCTCAATATTGCCTGAAATCACAAGCATTATAAGCTAAGATGAATAGTGGCCAGCAGTGAAATCCAGGATGCGCGCTTCGTCCTATTTGGGACTCGTCAGCTTGATTTACCTGCATCTCAGGATTGATATTCACTCTGGAACTCGGACGCAGTGCCGTTCACTTCAAACGCCATCTCGTTATCCACTTAGCTACTGAGTCCTGATAACCACCTACTTGTGCAATGGGGTGAAGTTATATTCACTTGTTGTTGTTTACTTGTATCTTCCCATTGTTATTTAGGACTGTAATTGATCAGTCTCTTGTTGGTATTTGTGTATCCTATGCAGAATGCCTCGATATTGGCTGATAGTGTTGGAGTTCCAAAGTGAACATCAACAAGTCTGGGATGCAGGTGCATCCAGTTGACGAGTCCCAAATCAGACAAAACGCGCGTTAAACTGTATTCCACACCTAGCCACGATCGATCTTTGCATATAGTAGTTGTTCATTGTTATACAGTCTTAAAGTGACATACAATAGTTGTTCGATGTCCTTCGTTCATTCCCTTTTTTTTCTTCCTTTTTTTTTCTTTTCTAGTTCCAGACAATGATTCTATCCATAAATCTAAATTAGATAGTCGACGTTCAACATTAAGCTCTATATCAACAACATGTTTTCCATTAAATTTTCGTCATTTAAAAAGAAAATCATGTTATGATGAAAATATAAAATTTAATGAAATGACACTACCCCTTCAAAAGATCGATCAACCAACTAACGGTACTAATAATGATGATGGTGAAGGTGGTGGTGATGATGGTGACAAGTTAATTTCTAGGAATCAAACAAATACCATGGTAACACCTATTTGTAAAGTGAATTATGATGTAGATGAGAAAATGTGTATAAATCCGATGGTAAGTTTATTATTATTCTTGAATAATCAAGGTATGTTGTTTTTGGTTGTTTTTATAACATGGATTGATATCAACAAAGGCAACTATTGAACAGTAGAAATCATTGAACAGTTGTGTTGGTCATGGTATGAAACCTTCTAGAATTAGGAACTCCTTGTTATAACTTTGTAAAAGAAGGCCGTATGCCAATTCGTTGTTGATTTTTATGTCCGACTTCTATCCACCAATGGAAATACAACTTTTCCGACCTTAACACTGTGCCAAATCAATGACATCCAACTGGTAATGAGCAGTCTGGCGTCCTCATTGGTTCCTTGTCCGCCTAACCCTTTCAATTGAGTCCAGACCATCAATTATAACTTTCACAGACAGATCACATCATACCATAAAATAGAAAATAATATTTATAGAACATCAAGCCAAATGTGACTGTGAGTGTGGGAGACAATAATCAATAAACTGAATCTAATTTAGGGATAGTAAACCGTATAATAATAATCCATAAGTCAAAATGAAGCTTATAATAAGATGCATATAGATAAACACAATCTAATTATTGAATAATAGTCCATTAATAGGTCCCGGAAGTTATCCGTACTTTCATTATCACTAGGATATAACAATCATAGTTTTAACAGAAATCTAAATTTGGAATTTTACCACCCTGAAATAATTATTATTACTTACTAACCAAATAAAGCAATTAATCCTTTTTGATAAGCTTCGTTAGTGTTGTAGTGAATGAGAACCTAAGTGGGAACAATCGAAGGCATTTGACACAACATTATAGACTATTTTTCATAGTTGAAAGCGTTAGTCAATTGAAGCTAGACCATCATGGAAAACCTGGAAACATTGTACGGCCGTTTCGTCCTATTATGGGACTCCTCAGCAGTGAACATCCGCGGACCCGCTCTCGTGAGATTTGAAACCAGGACCTACCAGTCTCGAGCCGAAGTCCTTAACCGATAGACCACAGAGCTGGCATCCAACGGTGTTAATGTCTAACTTCAACTGATTCACGAAGTTGAGAAACCATTCACCAATTGTGTTCAGTGAGTTCCTATCTCACAACAGACGTGGTTTTGAACTTCACTGGTCACTGCTTCTCACTAGAGCAGACTATCTCACTAAATTCTGATAACCATACAGTAAGTAGTTAATTTAAAAAATAATAATCAATGGTCTCAATCCTGACTGTTCCTTCTGTAAATATCAGTCCATCTTCTCTGATTTGATTGTTCATACATTTTCATACCAATTGCGTGCCCTTCCTGTCTTTTACTTATTCATCTTCTGCCAAAAATACATTCTATGCCTGACCACCAACATATACTACTTATGTGGATATAAGTAACCCATACCACAGTGTAATAAGAAGATGAAGATTATCAGAACTATGTGATAATATGATAGCACAATAAATTTCGAACAATCTGATCACATGTAATATACTTGTTAAGAACTGGACCAGACTAGAAATAAAGGGTAAGAGGAGACGAAGATAATAAAGAAAATATTGTGAAAACAATTTGAACCCTAATCACTCTGGATAGTTCGTTAATGTTGACAGGGTAGGTTTAAAGTGGGAACAAACTGTTTTTGAATAGACGCGAGTTTCGTCCTACTTGGGACTCGTCAACTGACTATCAGAACTCAGTAGCTGAGTGGATAACGCAATGGCGTTTGAAGCGAAAGTTACTGGGTTCGAGTCACAGAGTGAACATCAAATCTGAGACGCAGATACACCCAGCTGACGAGTCCCAAATGGAATGAAACGCGCATCCTGGATTCCACTACTAGCCGCTATCCATCTTCGCTTATAGTGCTTGCGAATTAAAGCTACATAGAGGAAATACGCGCAGTATGCACATAAGCTAATAAAAGACTGATTAATTGTAGTGTTCGAATCTCGTGAGTGCGGGATCGTGAATGCGCACTGCCACTGAGGAGTCCCATAATAGGACAAAACGGCCGTCCAGTGCTTCTAGGTTTTTTCACATGGTGGTCTAGCTTCAATTGACAGATTGGGTTTAATCACATAGTTCTGATAATCATCGTCTTCTTACATTCAGTAATTCAATGGATGTTTACCATTAATTGATTTATAGTCATTGCATTGATATAATCCATTTCGTTTGATATTACCAGTCTCCATTGATAGAAGTTTAACTTTATTGATTAGTTGAAATCATGATTCGATTGAAACTAGGTCACCATGGAAAACCTAGAAGCACTGGATAGCAGTTTTGTTCCATTTTGGCGCTCCTCAGCGGCAGTGCGTATCCATGATCCTGCACTCGTGAGATTCTGAAGAGTCCCATAATAAGACAAAACGGCCATCCAGTACCTCCAGGTTTTCCATGGTGTTATAACTTTAATTAACTCATCATTTCAACTTTGAAAAGTACTGAAATCTTCACAAAACCTCTTCTATTTATCGATTAGATCTTCTCATAGGAAACATTAGTCTTATTTCTAAGGTAATAACAATATTTAATTGTATAAAATCAAAGAAGAAGAAAAAAATTAATTGAATTTACCATTGAACTATAAGGTCAATGGAAAGGTTTCAATGGTTTAACTAAGATTGATACACACTTTAATAATATCATAACTAATATAATTAGATTTCAGGTTGATCACAATAAAACAGAATGATATTAAGCGAATCTTTGATCTTCATTGTTTGATAAATAAATCTAGTTCTGTAAGCTGTTATGAATGAGAAGATCAATTGGGGATAATCAAAATCTAAGAATCATATAGTAAATACTTTGTTAACACATCAATCATTCGCTAAATTCATTTGATATGTTCACTGATGACTGGCTCCATGAGGTAATTCTTGGAGTTCTAGTAAGAATTCGTGACCAGTGGAGCTAATCCATGTTAGGTAGAGAGAGATATCTATCTCAGTACGATGGAAGTCGGTAGCGCAATTTCGTGGATTGGTTGAGGTTAGACATTAACACTATTGGATGCCGGCCGGCTCAGTGGTTTATCGGTTAAGTGCTCTATATTTAGGTTCACCAACATATTCATCATTGCGAAATAACCTAACCTAATCAATAGTGTTTCGTTTGGAATTTCTATGAGTGGTCCTTATTTATTTAATTATTTAAACACATAAATATTGGTACAACGAAGCACCGGATATATATGCGCCGCACAAATCTCATTTGATTTGTGTGAGGGCTGTGATACTGCACAGGTAACCAAACCGAAGCAGGTGGTTTTCTTGGGGCCCACACCCGGAGACTTTGACCTAAAGATCTGATCCTTAAGGCAGTGGAACATCGTGAGGAGACGCAGTCCCATGTTAGCCGGTGACCAATGATTGATTCATACACCATTTGTTACTTCAGAATACCCGAGTGCATGTGCACGATTGGTTTGAAATCAGGGTTTTCCAACTCCCCTAGGTAGACCCTCCGTGTCCACCGACCCGGTTAAAGCACCGCACATTCACTTTTCGTCCTCTCAATTTCGTAAACACTAGTAATGGCAAGAAAAGGTAATGAGTAGGACTTCCCTGGTAGAGGCTATATACGTGTGGCCATATGAGAGGATTTGAAGAGGGAGATCGGACTCTCCCCACTTCCGGCCGTACCAGGGCATTTAGGGGCCTAGGTAGTGAGTGGTTCACCAAATATTCTTTAAATTATTGGACAAATTGAAGTTATGCATCTGAGGAAGTAAAACGAACAATTCATGAATACTTATATATTAACCACTGTGAATACTACTAATAACCGGAAATATATGTATATAGATCTACAAAAGAAACAATTTGTACTACATTACAGATGTATATCTGTATTTTCAACTAATGTAAACTACTTATCGATAGTTAGCATAAGATAACTATTTACCCCCAATTCACATGTAAAGATGCGCGCACACACACACACACACTCAAACATTACTGATCATATGATTGATTACATAACAACACTATTCATTCAACATATTTACAGAGAATTGTAACATAAATAATGGAAAGAGTTTCGGTTCGAGCATTTATCATTATTATCAATGGATCACTTATCATGTTTGCATTCACTTAGTATTGTTTGTTTGAATCTTCCCAGAGTGAACGACAACTCTGAGATGCAAGTACATCCAGCTGACGAGTCCCAAATAGGATGAAACGCGCGTCAAACTAGATTCCACTACTAGCTACTATCCATCTGTGCTTATAATGCTTGGGTATTGTTTACGTGAATTGTATACGGGAGAAATATTTTGTGTAAGGTAGTAATTCTCAGTAAACTGTGTATGAATGAAGTGAACGATGTTAATGTTGTGTATGAGTGTTGGGATAACCCTGTAATTTTCTCGCAAGCGACATGACAAGCTCATGGGTCATCAAGGAGCATTTCAAACAATCAGCGATTAATTAAAAATTATGTGAAGTTATGTTACTAAAATAACGAAAATGGGAAAGTTACATATGGAGATCCTGATTGGCTGATTAACACACTGCTACTATGTTTAGCAGTATTCTAGAACTTTCAGTAAAACTCAAGGATTCTTAAATTACTATAAAATCCCTATATTTTCTGTATAGAAATGAACCCTGTAGTAAAGTGCTTCTTACACACTTTGTGCCTTTTCTCTGGTCTTCAAATCACTGAGTCGTTCTAGCTTGGGGGTACGGAACTAGCTTAGGGAAGCGAATATAGCGTTCACAATCGGCCAGAAGTAACAATGATATTCGAATATATGTGGATGAGTGTAACTGTCAGAGATGTTATACTGCATTTGTATGACAGTCATAGAGAACTGTAAAATTCATAGTGGGTTCATGATAATACTGTTGAAGTTTCATATGACGGACTAGCTAATGTTAGTAATATAATAGTAGATGAGAAAACACTAGAAAACTGTTTAACCGCAATGTTAAGGAGTGAGTATCATCGACCTTTCCTGAAATCGGACTAAGGAATTAGAGTTGTCTAATGTATACTTAAACTATATCCAGTTTCCATCAATCC